GGATGGTCCAGGCTCCACCTCCATCTCTATCTCTGCCAGCTCCATTCTCTCTCCCACCTTGGAGCTTGATGCTGGCCCTGACTTTCATGCCACCTCCTCATCTGATTTGGCTGCTGGAGGAGCCGGTGGCTGATAGGCCACAACAATACATCAAACAAATATAAAAATAAGTGCCTCTGACTTTCTTTTAATAATGAGATAATTGAGACAATGTGTTTATGAACTATAACACGCCACTAGAATATAAAGTGAGAGCAAACCCCACTCCTTACAAGTACTGATGATGTCACTTAGTTTAATGAAACATCTGCAAGAAAAGAACCAAGAATCCCTCAATTATAGCCCCAGCTATGTTGGCTGTGAGCAATTCCTAAAACTTGACCAAAGTGAACACAAATCAGTAATACAGTGAATTATGAACAAATATGTTTATATATTTTCGAAAGAAGACCAAATTACAAAGGATTTTCATCACACTGCTACAACTCATTAATATAAGCAGCAAGCAGGAATTTATTATGAAAAATGTTGGCAATCTTACAAGGATTTTATTCTGTGGCTTATCAAATAATGAAAAATATAGCTATCCAGGACTAAGCAATATATATAAAAAGTCCATAGTGTCTGTGGATCCTTGGAACTCATATTATAATGCCTGATTTGTTTTGTGCAAACAGTAAACTTTGATCCTGAGCACTTGCTGTTTTACAGACATCTCTCTAACAAGTTCAACATCAGCCAGTGGCATTCTTGGACAACAGCCAGACAATACATGGCATCACTCCTGTCCTCAAATACTCTTTAAATATTTTAATTATATTCAAATCAGTGTTGGCTAATTCCAGCGGGATCAACTTTTGTAATTCCCCATCGTTTAGGAATCGAGAACTATGTTTGCTTCCCACAATAGTGTCAAATGGGAATTTGGAGAGATTTTAGAAAATTAAATTGTCAGCTCTAAACCATAGTTTGAATTAACCGGTTGTGATGGGAGGATTGCTGTGACTACTGCTGCCAAATAAGCCCACAAACTCAAGGGAATTTGTGGATTGTCTATCTACAAGTTTCTTAGCTACAGAGCTGATAGTTGCAATCATACAGTAGCTTACATATCAAGAGGTTGGAATTTATACAGACAATAAATGTGTCAAGCATGTTAGCTGTCTAATTCTATGCCAGCAGAAAAAGAATTAGAGAATATTATTGTGAGATTATATTGGTGTGTAAAAGTTCATTAAAGCATGAATAATGGGGATTCCAGCATTGTTGTCTTCTGCAGTTGGGACATCTTACCTACATTATAACATTGTGCATGTATTTTATTGAAATATCTTTATCCTGCTTTCTCAGATATAATAATCTAGAAAGGGGTAAATGGTAAGGTAAAACTATGCTCTATAATTGAGCAACAATAAAGCAAGACGAAATACTATCACGTTAAAAAACAAACACATTAACAAATGACCAATGCTAGTTTAGATCATTCTTTTAAAAAAGGTGAAAAATGTTTCTACCTGTTGCACAAAGGCTATCACATCTCCCCCCTGGTAGGATTTCCATTACTGTGAAACCTCTTTCAAGAGGCTACTGTCTCAAAGGGCCAACCATTATATTCCTAGCTGTTTTCCCTTTACCATTTATAGCAAGTTATTTGAGAATCAAGCTGAGAAATGCAAAATGTCATTTTGTCAAAACAAAAACTACTTCAGATTTTACAGATAAACAAAGAAAAATTAAAAGCAGGGTTACTCAGTGAATATACTGTGCATGTGTTTTTGGTTTAAGACTTACTTAGAGCTTTCTGCAGTAATCACATCACATATATTTGCATATGTAACATATGCATAATGTACATATGAAGATCTGTATATTGCAAAAGTCAGAAAAAGGACTGTGAAAATATCTACAGAACCCTCACATCCTGGACAGAAACTGTTTCAACTTCTTCCCTCAAGACAATGCTATATGGCATTGCATGCCAAAACAGTTTGATACAAGGACAGTTTTTCCCCCCATGCCATCATTGTGCTAAACAACTAATTCTCACAACACCATCTTATGCCCTGGGATGTCAAACCACATAGTAGGGCTGCATTACTGTTATCCTTCTCATCTTTCCTATCACCTATTCCTTTAACATGTTATGACTATAACTTGTTTGTATCTTACAATTTATGTTGATTGCTTTATTTAGTATCCTATGGCGCTCACTGAGTGCTGAACCTAATGATTTATGATTGCATTTTATGATTATGATCATGATTTACTTGTTGCTTGCATGTGCACCTATAGCTTATGCACTGGAGACAAAGTCCTTGTGTGTCCACTCACACTTGACCAATAAAGAATTCTATTCTATTCTATTCCATTCCTTTCCTTTCCATTTTATATTTGATATATAGATAACAACTAAAGCTTACCTAAAGTACAGGTTGTCCTCAATTTATGACCACAATTTATGTTGTTAAGCGAGATAGTTGTTAAGTGAATTTTGTCCCATTTTATGACTGTTCTTGCCACAGTTGTATCACTACAGTTGTTAAATTAGTATCACAATTGTTAGGTGGATCTCACCACCCCATTGACGTTGCTTGTTAGAAGATTGCAAAAGGTGATCACATGATCCTGGGACACTGCAACCATCCTAAAAATGAGCCAAGCATCAGAGTCTTGGTCACGTGACTATGGGAATACCACAACATTCATAGGGGTAAAAAACAGTCATAAATCACTGTTTTCAGTGCCATTGTAACTTTGAGTGATCACTAAACAAAGTGTTGTAAGTTGAGGACTATAGAAGAAAAGTCTACATGATATAAAGTGGGTTATATCTAGTTTAGCCCTAGGTTTATATTATCCTAAAGAATACAATGTGATGTTGAGATAGTCAAGATCATGAAATCATTCCATTTGTTTTCAGTGAGAAAGTGATTCAACTCTTAATGTTAATTACACCTTTGATACCATACGTGATGGTATGTAGTGAGAATAAAAGAGATCTTTGTTGGTTAAAAATTCAGCACCCTATGGTCTACATTATGTGCATTTCCCCATAATTGTCTACCTTCTTGTGCATTTCCCCATAATTGTCTACTTTCTTGTGCATTTCCCCATAATTGTCTACTTTCTTGTGCATTTCCCCATAATTGTCTACTTTTTTGTGGTCGTGCTGCTCTTGTTCATCAACCCTTTTCTTAAATTTCCATTGCTGACATTAGCAGAAATGACATCATATTGGCCACAACCCAGAACCACAGAAACAGCTCATCTTTACTTTCCAGCCTTTTCTGCAGTCACACTCTGCACTATAAACCTAGCAGTGGTTCTTTTATTGAGTGTTATGTGTGGGTTATCTGAGTCTGGAGAAGTTCAGTTATCCTGATCAGAGTTATGTGGGATGATGGGAAGAGGTTTAAAGCTGATCAGTACTACAAAGTAATGGAAAAGCAGAGAAATTCTTTTGCTCCTAGTTACTACCCCACAGAAACCTTCCTGTGTGTTCAGAACAACATGCTTCCTAGTCTGCCTTCCACTTCGATTCTAAGTATAAAGCATTAAAAAGGCAGAGTTGATAGTTATCAGGCAAGTTCTGCTTTTGCAGGATTTGCACTCAAATATTCGGAAGAAAAGGTTATTTCCTAAGCTGCAGCTAATTCCAAACGACGTGTTTTGAAAGATATTGGTTAAAACAGTGTTTCTCAACCTTGGTAACTTGAAGATGTCCGGACTTCAACTCCCAGAATTCCCCAGCCAGCGAATGCTGGCTGGGGAATTCTGGGAGTTGAAGTCCGGACATCTTCAAGTTGNCTTGGAAGGATGGAAGGCTGAGTCAACCTTCAGCCTGATTAGATCTGAACTGCCGAACTGCAGCTAGTAGTCAGCTGAAGTAGCCTGCAGTACTGCACTCTAACTAGTGAGCCATCTTGGCTGATTGCTTGGCCGCTATAAGAACAGTCTGCTGGACTAAATGGACCAGAGGGCTGACCCAGAAGGGAACTGCTTTTGTTCTTTTGTCCCTATATTATACCACAAACTGTAAGCTTAATTGACTTTCTGCTTTATGGGAAATCCTTATTATGATTTAAATTCCTAAATATATAATGGTATTTCCATATAGAAATTCTGTACAAAATAGGATTGTGTGGTTTTGAACCAACAGAATCGAAATATTTCATGATTTAAGTTTACTGATTTCCAACCATATAGAATAATGGAAATATACATTTGTGTATGTATGATGCAATATTGTTTGCTACCTACCTTTTATTTATTATTTAAATAAAATTTGGTCAAGAGCATTCTGATTGGAAAAACAAAATAAATAAAACAAGTTCCCCATATGGAAACAAACTCTTCTCTCTACAACTTCCTGTCTTTTTACAACTATCTTTCAGTATTAATCTCCAGTGGCATAGTGATTAACAGCAATAGCACTTAGACTTATATATTGCTTCACAGTGCTTTAAAACACTCTCTAAGTAGTTTATAAAATCAGCATATTGCCCCCAACAATCTGGCTTCTGATTCTGAAGGATGGAAGGCTGAGCTGATCAGGATTGAACTCTGAAAGTGGGCGGCTAGCCTGCAATACTGCATTCTAACCACTGCACCACCGTGGCTTAAATTTACCATTAATTTTAGCATTCTATCACATTAAAATTTCAATTTGCCAACAAATTTATAGAAGTCCACAAGCAGCACCTAATGGGGCACCTGTTGTATATTTCATTCACTTCTCTTACTTTTACTGCAACCAACATAATTGGACCCAAATTATTTGATTGTGACCCTATAAAGCTTACTGTTGTCCTCTCCTCTCCTTTTTTGCTTTCTCCAAATCAGGAGTTGATTCCTGGCAACTGCCTAGACAAACCCCTGAATTTTTCTTGGCAATATTTCAAAAGTGGATTTAGTTATGGATAATTAATTAATCATACAAAAACTAAAGAAAAAGAGACGCAGTACAAGGTTGAACATTCTTTACCGATTTCAATGGTATATTATACCCAGTATTGATTGCATTTCAATGTTGGGTGCGTTTTTCGACAGTGCTGAATAATTTCTGGGTCAAGGCTGGACCAGTTGCTTTGCAGAAGACTTACAGCTGGTTCTGGAGTAGCTGGCATTGGATGAGACTGTTCCCGCTGGAGGGACATGAATGGTAAAACCGATGTTTTGTCGGTGCTTTTTAAGAGAGGGGTCACTGTGACAGTAGGTATTGTTGAGCTCCTCTCTGCAGAAAAGCTTGAACTGTTGTGAATTACTGGTGGCTGTTCTAAAATAAGAGGTTTTGCCCTCTTTGATCTACGGCACATTAAGAAGATACAAAGAACAATGGCAATTATAATGAATAAACCAGTCACAGAAGAAAGGGGTACGATGATGATCAACCAGTTCCTGCTGCTCAATGTTTGAAGCCAGGTGCTTTCAGACTGTGTTTTTATTGTGGTCACAGCCCAAAGAGATATGCTTCTAGTATTATCTTCATCATACTGTCTATCTTTCTGATGCTCCCAATGGTTTTGGTTAGGCCTAAAAGTCTGTGCTGGTATATCGGTGTGTGTACCATGCTTTGGAATAAACAGATGTTCATTTTCTATAACATAAGTTTCTAAAATGTCAGCAGTAGTTAAAAGGGGCACTTCTGGAGTAAACGCCTGAGCCGGTGAAGGATCCTGTTGCACTATGACAAAGTGGAACTCACCAATGGCAGGCTGAACATTGTCTGCTCTAAGTATAAAGGAAAAGGAATCATTTAATACATCAGTATTTGTCATATTAGCACTGGTTTCAAGGAAAACAACACCCATGTCAATGTCCCTTTTTGTGAAGAGAACCAGGTTCTCACTTTCAGCGTTACTCAATGACTTCCTTGAAAGACTTCCATAAACTGGTGACATTAGGACTTCAAACTGTGGATTGCTTTTTGTCATGTTGGCTAACCGTGTAGCATCCAAATGACGTGTCTCGAGCTGGTAAGACATCCTGTTGGGAATTGTCACATTAAGGGCCATTTGCAAAAGAGGTTGTACTAAGATCTTCAGAACTTGTCCTGTTAGATTACTGTCTGATGTGAATACAGCAAATTCTAACGTATCACCAAAAGCAGTGAAGTCTGCCATGCAGTACAACAGTCTTGCTTTATGTATATCTCTTTGGTGAAATGTAGTCACCTGCTCATTCTCAATCAGAAGATTCCCATATCTAAAAGGCTTTGTGACTTCAAACCTGATTTCAGAGTTCTTCCCATTTGTTGTGGCCGAAAGGTGGACATTTGTAATAGCAACTCTGTCCTGTCCCTGGGGAAGAAGCACTTCTGTTAAATTAATCAATGTGATGGACACCAGTATCACGTCAAGCTGAAAGAGTTTATACTGTGGACGGTGCTGCCCATCGGTCACACTAAAATAGAAAACCCCCGAGAAAGGGCTCCCATCTTGTACAAACCAAACAATACCATCATTGATATCAGCTTGTGTGAAATTTTTGATAGACTCATTCAAATGAGTCCACAGTGCTAAATGTCCATTTTGGGGATCAGTTATTATGGTATATTTAATCTCTTCTGGTGAGTTATCCAAATCTTCAACATTTAGGTTATCTTGTCCTAGAACCGTTCGATCGCCTTGCAAAACATTCAAACACAGCAGTTTTGACTTCAGTTTTGGAACCTGGTCATTCACTGGTACAACAGTAATATTAAATGCCTCTTCTAAAACATCAACGTTGGGTTTCACAGTGGACTTGCTTTTCTCATTTAGCCACACAGCAAAGGTAAAGTAATCGGTGAGTGATTCAGAGTCATCGTGAACATAGAATATTCCAAATTTGTTAATGATATACTGGGAGAAATAGGGCTTGTCTCTAGTAATATTTCGTTCTCCCACAACAATTCTGCCATGTTGAGGCAATGCTATGACTTCATACCACACTTCAAATGAAGAACGCTGTGTCTGGGGTAATTTAGAGAGTAGGTTTGAGCCATCCAGCTTAGTTTTGTCAATTAAAACTTTGCCACCTTCCCGGACAACAACACCTGCGAAAGAAAAAAACAACCCCTTTCAATAGAAAATTTGGAGAGTGACTCTTAAACATAATATTGTATGGAGACATCAAGCAATCCAACTGGAATTCTAAGAACAAGTCCATCCACTGGTTATTTGTGAGCAATTCCAGTGGACAGAAAATATTATAATACATTTTTTTTTCTGAGTAAGAGCAGAATTAGTTCTGACAAATGATGGGAAATTACCTTTTGAATAGAAGAAGAAAAAAAGAGGAATCAAATGGGAAAATAACACATGCAAAGATAGTCTTCTGGTAGTTAGGCAGATCTTACAATTAATTAGCCCATTTTCTTCCCGTTGCAGTAAAAAAGCAATTGGGGTAAATGAAAATGGGAATGCAAATGGTAGCATTTTAGTGCCAGCTGGATTATTTAAAATATCCAAAGATAGGTTGGCTCCAAAACTTGCAATCTTTTTTGCCCATGCAGACCAGGTAATGCATATTCCAGGAGACAGGAATAAGCTATCATAGTTCCACAACTGGGAAATGCATGCAGGATGTGGCTTCATGAATCCTTAACAGGAGCTCTATTTTGGGTTAAGTAAATAACAAGGAGGAAAGGAAGAGGGACGTTTAGAATAGAAGAGTCACCAGTCTTCTGAGCTGTAACTCTCCAGCCCCCCACAAATAAAATGACTTGAGAATTTTATCCTAGGTTTTTTCCCCCTGAAAATTCCCCTGCAGGGTCCGCCCATTTTCAGTCTCAATCTTTCTTTTCCAGCTTTTTGCCTTGTACCAAATTTGACTGTATTCCATTCAGTTTTGAGAGAATTATCCTCATCCATCGTGATGGCGAACCTATGGCACGTGGGCCACAGAGGCCCTGCAGCGCCCTCTCTGTGGGCATGTAAGCCACCTACCCAGTTCAGCTCTGCCACGCATGCATACACAGCTCCCGCTGGCCAGATGGTTGTAGGGTCCATGCCACACATGCACAGGGGGAGGGGCATGTACGGGGCTGTGTGCATGCATGGGGGGTAGGCACATGCGGGAGGTGCACATCAGTGGTGGGATTCAGCCAGTTTGCCCCACTTCGTGAGAACCTTTGGTTGTTAACATTCTGAGCAGTTTGGTGAACTGGTTGTTGGAATAAATCATTAGTGCAGAGAACCGGTTGTTAAATTATTTGAATCCCACCACTGGTGCACATGCATGCATGGGGAGGCAGGACGTGTACAGGGGGGCTGCACGCACATGGGGGCACGCATCATGGGGGCAGGACAATGTACAGGGGCCGCATGCACATTGCACTTTGGGGGTTTGGCACTCAGTCCGGAAAACATTAGCCATCACTGTCATAGATGGACAGTGTTCTGAATTCTTTTAACATAAATTTCTTTTCAATACTGCATCCCATTGGGTTGCAAAGAACTGAAAGATGAGAAAACTGGCCTCCACACTGGATTGAGTTGCCAAATACTGCAACTTAAACTATTTAAGGAACCTCTTTAGACAAAACAGGATTGGAGGAATAAGTGTTTTGGCATTGGAATGTTAGAGCTCAAGAATATATCAATCCCTTTCTGATTAAGTAGCCTGCAAGAGGTAATTTGGACAGTTATTTATGGAGTTAAAATCAGTTTGAATTCTATTAAAATAGCTATGGGTAGCCCTCAATGGGTTGTTATTATTAATGAATTAATATATTGCATGAAAGTACCTCAAGCCAATTTGGATGGAACATCTATGCATACTATTCAATCAGATCTCAATCTCCAAAGGGATTGAGCCAAATGGTGTATTGCCTCCTACTCTATTTAATTTTTTTATAAATGGCATAGTAGCTTTCTAATTAGAATGCCATGCCTTTCAGTTACCTCATAAGCTGCAGACCATTTAATTTTATGATAGTAAGGCACCCACTGAAGCAAGTACATGTTCTCTAACCTGGTAATAAAACTTCTACGGTGAGGGAAGCCAAAGCAGAAAACACAAGACAACTCCATTTACCAAAATATTTCAGGAGACATTAATCCTAGAGATTTGAAAGATCTCAAGGATGAAAGTTCCAGCAGATTTCTGCCCTGAAGCTTCATTTAGTTGACCATCAAAGTTGAGTATGTTATTATTTTGCTTTTATAAATTAGATTCCATTGTCAATTAATATATCCTGGCCACAATCTGAATGATAGGGAAGCCCAGTAATAAAAATAAAAATAAAAAATCCAGAAAGAAACATGTGATATATAAATGGAATTCAAGTGAAACAGATCAAAGAGTTTATATCTTTAGGAAATTATATTTTATTCTTTCTTTTCTTTTAGATCTAGTATAGAAAAAAACATTAAAAACATAACTCAGCAAATGTTTTATGGTTCCCTTATGTACAATTATAAAGACCAGCATTATTTAAGTGCCATTGAGTTGAGCCCAATGCTGGTGACTGTGTGGGTAGAGTCACTCAATCTGTCTCCAATGGATAATCCATAACTCTTCCAAAAAAATACTATTAACCTTTTTCACCTGTCCATCAATTTTATTGTGAGGATTCTAGGTCAGTGTAAAATGTACATGTTTTGTTTCAAACTCTGCCATGCCCAATGAAACAAAGATGTAATCCATTAAGGCCAGATTTCAGTTACAGATTTACAATACTTGCCTAAACTAATACTTTCCAGATTATCATTTCTAACTCTTCCAGGTGGTTTAATTCATGCTGGGGAAAAAAGCAGTTGAAGAGAGCCCTCTTCTTAGCCTTTGAAATTTTGAGACAGAATTAAAGTTGCGGTTAAGGATGTGTCAGACCTGGAAGCCACACTTTGGAGATATAAGCGAATAACTCCTTATCATCTTAGAACTGTGATGGCAAACCTATGGCACCTGAGCCACAGGTGGCACATGGAGCCATTTCTGAGGGCATGTAAGGCGTTGCCGTCAGCTCCAGCGAGCATGTACGCACTGGCCACCTGATTTTTAGCTGGTTTTCTCCATCTGGAGGCTTCAGGAGGCTTCCTTGAAACCCAAGGAGGGCGAAAAACTGCCAACATGCAAACCAAAAGTTCGGGAATTGACTTCCAGTTTACATGTTAGTCTGTTTTTCACCCTCCGGAGGCTTGAGGGAAGCCTCCTAAAGCCTCCGGAGGGAGAAAAAGGGCAACCCGGAAGTCAGTTCCCGAACTTCCGGTTTGCGTGTTGGGCTGTTTTTTGCCCAACCCAGGCTCCTAGAAAGCCTCTGGAGCCCAGAGAGAGACCTACCGGGCCCACAGGTAGTCAGAAAATGGCCTCCAGAGGACCGCCGGGGGGAGGCTGTTTTGACCCTCCCAGGCTGCAAGAAAGCCATGCGGGCATGCACAGGGCAGTGGGGGGTAGTGGTGGCATGTGCGCATGGCGCGGGGGGGGGAAATAAATTATGGGATGGGCATGCCAGATCACGTGATAGCACGCACACACATGCTTTTGGCACCTGAGGCAAAAAAGGTTCGCCATCACTGTCTTAGAAGATGGGTAGACTACCTAGGTTATTATCCTCCAATCTTCTGTGAACAGTCTGAATGTGCTTTAGCACAATACAATATTTTACCCTATTCGGCCTACTAGAAGGATAGTATCATTATTAATATGCATGTCTTTCTGTTTAGAAGTTGAATCAGTAGGCCATATATTACTTTGAGGTTTATTCTGCATGATATTCAATTTATATAGCTTCTTTTTATATAAAACTAGATGGTAACCTGGCATTGCCCCGGTATTTATCTATCCGAGTGGTGGGATTCAAATTTTTTTTACTACTGGTTCTGTGGGCATGGCTTGGTGGATGTGGTGTGACTTGGTAGGCGTGGCTTGATGGGTATGGCAGGGAAAGGTTACTGCAAAATCCCCATTTCCTCCTGATCAGCTGGGACTTGGGAGGCAGAGAATACATGGGGCCAGGTCCAGTCAGAGGTCCTATTTACCAGTTCTCCAAACTACTCAAAATTTCCACTAACGGTTCTCCAGAACTGGTTAGAACCTGCTGAATACCACCTCTGATTTATCCAAATCCTGTATTAGACAGTAACGGTGATTTTAAGTGGCAACATAAGTGCAGAATGGGCTGTCCTCCTTCCTTCCATTAACGTCGCCACAATTCCTGAAGAGGCGATGGCAAGAGGAACTTCTACCTGATTTTGGTAACAATTAAATTAGTTAAAAATGTTTTCCCTGTGTCACCAGAAGCATCAAGAAAAATAATACCATGTTTTGCTAGCTGATCCATGATCATTTGTCCTCAAGAATAATCAAAGCCTTGTTAAAAATGTTCAGACCAAAAGTAATTTCTAATGTTGGATTTTCCCCCTTACCAGAGGAAGCCCCCTTGTGAAGTTGTTATCATGGCGATTCCACTGCGCTGTACAGTAGAATCCATTTTATGGCAGAACAGTAGAAGCCATTTTAAGGCACAACAGGCTGTATCTTAACAGAACACATACCCCAAGGGGTGTTAAGGGTGTCTTAATACTCCCACAGTATTTTTTTCCAGATTAGTCATCTGTGTATGACATTTGGTTGCAATTGCTCGAGTGTTCCAGAGTTATGCTGGAACAAACATTCACACAAACACACACACACACAAACACACATTCTATTCTATTCTATTCTATTCTATTCTATTCTATTCTATTCTTCTATTCACAGAGCCATATTATATATCTATAGATCCAGGAAAAGAACACAGAAAGTACAAATTATATATCTTTTATCAGACCAAAATATGGAGTTTCTGTAAAGAAAATCTCTCCAACTTTAGTTTCTGCAAAGAAGATCATATAATATGTGATTCCACATAACTTACCTTTGTTGGCAAATAGCTGACTGCTCTGATTATGTGCTCTAATTTCATAGGATATATTAATACGGAACATCTGCGGTCCCAGAGCAGCTGGTGGAGAAGAGACCGTAAATGTAAAATAATCTTGTGTACTCCAATCAACTGATTGTTTGTCTGAATGCTCGTAGATGACCAATCCTTTATCCACCTGTATAGAGGAAAAATGCTGAACTTGCTGGCAGTGAAAACATTTACAAATACATTTTTATTTAAAGCTTTTGTTTAGTAAGAATCAGTGGTGGGATTCAGCCAATTTGCACTTATTCGGGAGAACAGGTTGTTAACTTTCTAAGCAGAGAAGAACTGGAGAACTGATTGTTGGAAGAAATCTCATTTTGCTTTTTTTCCACTTAAAAGGGCTAATCTTGTAAGGAAGGCAGGAAGAAACCATTCTGCTGTTGTTTCTAGCCTAATCTTTATTGCCCTGTTTACAGAAACTGCCTCTCCCGTTAACCCTTATTACATTGTAACAGCTAAGGCAAAGTGCCCATCGACGTGAGTGATGTTGAGTTGGCCACACCCACCCAGTCACATGACCACTGAGCCACGCCTGCACAGGTGGTCATTAGGGCAGAGAACCAGTTGTTAAATTATTTGAATCCCACCACTGGTAAGAATGAATGTTTCACATCTTAATCAAAACTTGGTATTAAAATCTATAAACCTGTACAAGTGTTGTAGGTACTCCAGAACCATACAGATCTGAATTTTGTGAGTAGTTTTAAGATTGCCATCAAAATTACCTTGAAACAGATTTAAACTAAGTGATGTGTTTACAAAGCTCAAAGATTAATTTAATATTTCCTTAAACAATAACAATTAAAACATTTGCCAATTATGGTTAAAGAAGGCAAAAATTTGAGAATGAATGTTTTTGAGTTTTAGAGAATGTAAAATTGGATGTGATAAGCAGTTATTTCACTGCATCTTCAGGGAATAATTGGGATGATGGGTATTATTATTGTTGTTACTGTTATTATTGCTAAAAAAAATCTTCTTTTTTGCAGCACTTCCTGGATCGGCAATTTTGGCTTGATATCTATGCTGCAAACTTATAAATAGATAGATTATATGTATGTATGTATGTATGTATGTATGTATGTATGTATGTATGTATGTATGTATGTATAGATGTATGGATAGATAGATAGATACAGACTGTCAGAGTTCCAACACCCTAATTAAATCATGAGCCTCAAGCCAAGCTTCAAAAGAAATCCAGTTATTTATTAGGAGCTTCATGTCGGCACAATCAGATCATGAATGCTTCATGAGTTGACAGAGATAGGGATAGAGATAGAGATAGCAATAGAGTGATAGAGATATATTTTAATGACCCTGTAATTCCCTGCATCCAGTTGGAGACGGGGTGACTGCACCCAGAGAGAGAAATATCTGCTGCTACCTAGGATCGAACTCACAGCCTCCAGACTGTGATGTGAGACTTCACCTCTAGGCCACAACGCTGCTCAGATTGAAGTGGTATATAAATGCTATAAAATTATCTGGGACAGGCCTGCTGGTGAATATTTAGTAAAAACAAATATCATGTACAGACTTATTGATATGGGTCTCATAATTACATTAAACTTCATTTCCTGTTTATAAATGTGAATCACAACAAATTCAAGTTTCATTTCTAAATTGTTGACTTACTTCTCCTAAACCTTTCAGTCCCTTTCCTAAGTTCCTAAGTTTAAGTGGGATTCGTTTGTATCCCATCTTTATCATTTTTGCAACTAACCTAAGGAGGCAAATGTTTACAACACATCTTCCTCCTATTTTCTCCACTGTCTCTCAGCCCAACCCCATGAGATGAGGTGGGCTGAGAAGGAAAGACAGGTTCAAGGTAACTCAGTTGGCATTAATCAATATTGAGAGTAGCCGCCAAACCCACTCCACAGTAAAGCTTTTCATAGTATTGTTTTGAACTACTGACTATTTTGAACGTTAAAAGAAATATCTCCAAACATTTTCATATTCCATCTAAATGTCATTCTAAGAAAGATTAGGCAATGAAGAAATATTTGTAAATGAGGCATGCTTCCAGTTTCCTAAGGTAGATGAACACTTACCATAGATTGTGTAAAACTTGAAATATCCTGTATGTTATTTTCAGAAAATACATATATCAGTCTTCCAAGTTTGGGGGAATTTGCAATTGTAAAAATAATTGTTCTGTTTTCTACCTCAGCCACATCATTGGTGACAGCCTTCAGATTGTAGGATGTAATTGGTTTCCTGGAACCTGAATAATTATAATAGTGCAGAAGGATAATAATATTGTCAATACAGTTTATGATCTTCTTTAATCCTGAACTCTCTCTGCCCTTGAGCAGTTGAATCATTCAAAAGCAGTGCAATCCTCTAAACATTCATCGAGAGGTATTTTCAACCAAATGTATAATTTAAAATGAGGGATCTCATAACAAAACATTATCCTGTACGGAAGCTCTTTGCACCCAGACATCTAGTATGCCAAGAGAATGAGAATAAACACACACACACACACACACACACACACACACACACACACACACACACACACACCGAGCTAGACCTTATCTAGCTTGGAAAGCTGCCATGTAAATATTTTCCAAACACAGTGATGTCCAAGGAAAGACTTGGTACAGTCTCTGAAATTCACGGACAGATCTTCACACTCCTGAAATGAATGAATGAACGAACAGACGAACAAATTATTTTCTGCAAAAGGCCGCTCCCCTTTCGCTCCTCTTTTTATTTCCTATGGGAGGGGCCATTCACCATACACCTGTGGCCTTACTCCCAAGTTGACCCTGATTTCTTAGCTGTTCTTTTCTTCTGGAAGCTCTGAGCATGCGCAAACTGGGAACAAGCTCCAGCTATTCCTCTGCCTCACTGCTGTCTAGCTCCGAAGGCAGCTGAGAACTGCCAAATGGCCTTGGCCCCATCTCTGCCGCCAATGCAGCGACCTAATCCGAGCCTTCCCCAGCCTCCAGGAGTAGCCCATGTTCCTCCCCAACCTCATCACTGTCTGACTCCACTGGAGGACCACAACACATACATACATACACATACATACACACAAGCTATCATTCATTTCCCTCATTTATACTTTATGGCCTGGGGAACACCAAACAGCCTGTCAGTCTCCCTTTCGTGATCCCAGAGCCTCTCTGATGTAAGTGGAACTATGTTTTGGTATTTCAGACATTAGATGGGGATGGATTAAAAATGGGCACCTAAAATTCTCTTCCAAAATAGGGCTGTTTCTCTCCGTTCTCAGCAGAGGTATTGACATGCTATGCAACGTGCTATTCTAATGTAGGCCTTGTGCTGACAGAGGTTGTGCCCTACAATTTGAAATGGTATAATATGTATTTTCTGCTCTTTGACCCAGCTCTTTATGAATGATCAAAACAATCCTCTGTTATTTTACAAAGATCAATCAAGCCAGAGTTTAAAGGAATTAGATCAACCGAAGGGTTTTTAAGCATTGTTCCTACATTCTTTCACTGAATGCAAAGGGTGAAATCAAATATGATCTAAAATCAAATAACAACACAGTTTCAAAAACTTATGAACCATCATGTGCAATTACGTATGCTGCTAACATTTACATGTGTATTTATTTGGATAAAAAGTAAATGTTCTGAACCGTATGCTCAGCAGGTAGCAATAATGGAACGGATCAAAAAGATTAACAAGGAACTCATCCAAGCTTGGAGAAAAGACAGTAAAAACAAAGAAAGATTTTTAAAAACCCAACTTTCCTAACAAGGACATTTGGCAAGATTTTTTTTTTTAAAAAAAACAGCAGTTATTGCATTGTCTGCATAAATTCTGGTCAGTTAGTTTTGCTTTTATATGGAGAATTGGTGGAACAGGCATAGCCCACTTCTCCAAACAGAGGGTTTCTGAGCCTCTGGCTAGGAATTGTTGCAGGCCAGCAATAGTATTGGCTGTCTGGTTCATGTTATCATATCTCTCTATTTTTACTTATTATTGGATTCCTTTATTTTACAGACTTTCAGGGCCCATTGATCAATTTGACTCTAAGTGGCATACAATGAAGCAATAAAATACTGTAAAAATAACCAACAGAACTCAAATATTGTTCAGGAATATTATAAATAACATTACATTCATTCTGTCTCAAATGCTGTTCAAAACTATTATAAGTTTATAACAGTTTCCAAATATGAGCAGTAAATATACCAATTTTATCTCTGGAAGGAAGGAATTCCATAGGAGGGAGTTCTTGCAGAAATTGCACAATGTCTGTGTCCTCTTCTGCTATATTTAGCAATAGCAATAGCAATAGCAATAGCAGTTAGACTTATATACCGCTTCATAGGGCTTTCAGCCCTCTCTAAGGGGTTTACAGAGTCAGCATATCGCCCCCACAGTCTGGGTCCTCATTTCACCCACCTCGGAAGGATGAGTCAACCTTGAGCCAGTGAGATTAGAACCGCTGAACTGCAGATAACAGTCAGCTGAAGTGGCCTGCAGTACTGCACTCTAACCACTNATTCTGGGAGTTGAAGTCCGGACATCTTCAAGTTGCCAAGGTTGAGAAACACTGGGTTAAAATGTTGCTTTGGGGTTGCAACATTCTGTATGAAAGTTTTGAAACCTAAATATGCTACATACAAGAAGTGTGAGTTTTAAAAGGCAAACATTTCCTGGCCCCCTATCTATGAATCACTCCCATCCTATAGACCAGATTGCTGGTTTTATCATAGCGCTGATAAAAGCTGGTTTTGCTGGTTTGAATATTCATGAGGAGTCTGTTGGGGGGGGGTATCTTTCCTTTATTAGGTCCATAGGTTTCATGGCTATTAAGGCTATTTTGTACCTAGTATTGCTTGTGAATACCCTTGAGCTGAATGACATAGATGCCTATCATTCAGACGTCAATTCCCAGTTCTCAGACAAAGCCTAATTTACTTTATTCTAAACTGAAGTCATGGGCATCTTCCCCAAAAGAGAATGGCTTTTCTATAAATTTGGAAGAGTGCCACTCTTCCTTTTCTTCATTGCTCCTTGACTGGAGATGGCAAAAACTGTGCCTACTTTTGAGACAAAAAGCGGATCTCATGCGTGTAAATCGTTTTGACGGCTCTGTCTGTCACGTTACTCGTGTATTCTGAGTAACTGATCCTTAGATAAAATATCCACTTTTCTAAACTGAGAAGTCTTCAATTATGGTAAGGAGTATAAACAAACTGATTTAACCTTGTAAGCTTGACATTGTGACTTTTAGTTTTTGTTTCTGATGAAAGAGTTTGAACTGGGAAAACATGCATCTTTACAATGTTTTCAGTCATGTGGTCCTGACTGTGATATTAGAGCTTTGGGCTTCTGTTGGAATATAATCACAGCTGCAGCGTCCTATCCACTTACATGGAAGAAGTCCATGGACCTCCAGCAATTTAATTTGGAGACACCATGGGAAACCATTCCATTATTCTTTTTTTATTAGTTTATACAAACTAATACAAAAATACAAAATAAAATAATAGAAAAATAGGGGAGGAAAAAGAGGAAGTGTAGAAAAAAGAGTGAAAACGAAAGAAAAGGCATTGACTTCTGACTCCTTTTGGTGCAGTAGAATAAGATAACATCAAACCTCAACTTTTTACCTTTACATAATAGTATAAACTAGCCATTGAAATGTACTTAAATTAGTCATTTCTATAACAACAAAACTATCTAATTAGTAAAGCCCAAAATCAAAGTTTTATTTTTTTCCCCACCTCCAAGTAAAAACAAAAGTAATCATATTTTTTCTTTAACCAAAGCAGTTAGTTTAGCTACCGTATTTTTCAGATTATAAGACGCACCTTTTTCCCTCAAAAAAGAGGCTGAAAATCTGGGTGCATCTTATACACTGAATATAGCAATTTTTTGCCTCCAGAAACCCAACTCCCTTCACCAAAATGGCCGTGCATAGGCTTTAGGAGGCTTGCAGAGTGCTCCTGGGGATTGGGGAGGGCAGAAATGAGCAAAAAATGGGCTGCTTTTTGCTCAATTTTGCCCCCACAGCCTCCAGGAGCACTCTATAAGCTTCCTAAAGGCTATGCATGCCATTTTTGGGGAGGAAAAAAGAGCCAGTTTTTGTGAAAAATGGCCATTTTTGGGAGGTCTGCAGAGTACCAAAAAAATTTTAAAAATGTACCTCTTCAAAATCTTGGAGCATCTTATACTCCAGTGCGTCTTTTACTCCAAAAAATACGGTATCTCTGCTAACTCCCATCAACTTTTGCAGTCATTCATCCATTGTGGGAATCAAAGTGTCCTTCCATTTTTATACATAAAGTAGTCTTGCTACCATCAACATATATAACAAGTTCCAATTTTTTCCCAAGTCTTCTTTCCATTAAACCCAAAAGAAAAGTTTCTGGTTTTATCTTTATATTCACTTTGAGAATCTTCTGTATTAGGATGTGAATCTTACTCCAATATTTCTTTGCTTGTCCACCATAAGTGATAAAAAGTTCCTTCTTTATATTTGCATTTCCAACATTCATTTGAAATACCTTTATACTTTCTTGACAGCTTGTCTGGTGTTAAATAAAGTGATACATCATCTTATAGAAATTTTCTTTTCAATTATAATGTAGTATAAATTTTAAACCTTTCACATATTCTCCCATTATTTAAGCATTACATTATATTCAAAGTTCCTTGCCCACTTTATCATGCAATGCTTTACATATTAATTTTCCAAATTCAAATTCAATAACAATTTATAGACCTTAGCAACAATATGTTCATCACTACCACACAGTAGGATTTCATTTTTGACAAAATTGTAAATATGTAAACCAATGGCAGGCACATCCTTCTGATTGCACATCATCCCAACTATTATGTAAATAGTTACTGACGTAGATATGTTAACAACTATTGCCTATTTCCAAACCATTTCATCAATCTGCAAGAAAGAAATAATAGCAATAGCAGTAGCAGTTAGACTTATATACCGCTTCATAGGGCTTTCAGCCCTCTCTAAGCGGTTTACAGAGTCAGCATATCACCCCCACAGTCTGGGTCCTCATTTCACCCACCTCGGAAGGATGGAAGGCTGAGTCAACCTTGAGCCGGTAAGATTTGAACCGCTGAACTGCAGATAACAGTCAGCTGAAGTGGCCTGCAGTACTGCACCCTAACCACTGCACCACCTCGGCTCTATGATAATTCATAGTAGAGATATCTGCAATAGTTGTCATAACACAAAACAGACAATGTTTTTGCAACCAC